ATGCGCGTAAATTCTTAAAATGTTTAATTTACATTTAAAGTGGAGTATTTGGATGATTTTGGTGGTAATTTTAGATATTTATTCGTGTAAAAATGTACAATACACGCATAATGAATAATCCAAAAATTTACCTCGGGAATAAAATTACAATAAAAAGTTTAAAAAAAGTTTATAATATCTGCAGTGTTTGTAATTAAGTAATCCTGCAGTAAAAATATGATTATATAATAGCGTGTTTAAAAGATCGCGAAGTGGAGTATTTACGGCATTAAAGATTTGTTTATAAATACATTTTTTTTTATTGTTTTTAACTCAAGTACATTTTTTTTAAATATTTCAAAGTTGTTTTCAAGTTTTTAATGTTAAAAAGCGATTATATTTAGTTACGATCATTACAAGTTAAGATATTATTATACGGATATATCAATAAAAAAAAAAAACTTTTATAAAATAATTTTATGTAACTATAATATTATATTGTTTGTGCAAGCTAAATAATAAATTACTTAAAATTTACCGTAATTACTCGCAAGTCGTTTTCATTCAATTAACAATGATTTTAAAACTATAAAGAATGAAATGTAGAATAATGATACTTGTAAAACTAATAAAATTAACCTAAACAAGCTTAATTATTTATTTGGTTATTAATTGAGTTCATTTCTTGGAGAATAAATATTATTATACTATATTTGCTTAACTACTCTTAACGCGTAATCAATGTACTATTTTCGATAACAGTTGAATCAAAACCCTTAGAAAGCAATTACTGATCTCGTTATTGATTTTTAAAATCTATATTCTAATTGTTTCATCGCACATAAGTGAACCTATATTTGTAGGTTATTCGGAAACGACTGGTATATGTTTTAACTTGGTTAAATTAGGGTCAATCGCATGATATCGCTAAAGCGAAAAAAATACCAAACTCGCTACAGCAGCGGTTTATTTAATATTTTTATAGTTATTTAAGTATTTAGCAATATAGAAGTGTACCTCAAACAATAATTTAATAATATGGGTAAAATTATGTATAGTAGAGAGATAGATGAACTATAATAAAAAATAATAATAGTTAATCGGTACGATACATTATAAACATTATTAGATATTAATAACCCTGCCTATATAATAGGAATACAATTTTTGGTGTACATCATTTCAGGCGTCTTAGTAGTTTGTTTATATATCACCTATAATTTAATTAATTTAATAATTATTCTTAAAACCCCATATAGTTGTAATTAATTATAAAGATAGATAATATTAACAAAAACAGTAGCTAATGGTAGAAATCTTGAAAAGATCGGAAAAACCAAAAAGGGAAGTATTCTTTTTCGGGAATTTCGAGAATTGCTAGCTTTAGAAGTAGAGGATGTTCTCAATTGACTTCAGTTTTCGTCAAGATACGGTAATTTTCTCTCGTGAAGTAATATTTAATAATAATATTATATACTTTGTTATGTAAATTTGTAGCGACTATAAATTTGAATGGTGGCTAGATGGTTTAAGTGATTCTCCAATGATTTCAGAAATTAAAAAATTTAAAGAATCTAATTAAAGAATTCAAACACCGATTTCATAATTTTCTTAAGAATAGTGAAATTTTAATGTTATGAACCATTTTCGGTTAATATTTTTGTTGTGAATATAAAATTGCAAATGGAATGTAATGAGTTAAAACTAGATATTTTGATACTCAATTTATAGAAAAATTTAATCAGTGCTCTTTATTCAATTTTTAAAATTATATTTATTCAAAGAAACATATCCTGTTCTGGACAACCACACATTATTCATTCTCTTGGGAACAAAATAATACTTTTAAGAATAAAAAATATCAAAAGTAAAAATCTGTCCACTATTTCGGACAAGTAAATCGATAGTTTTTGATGATTTAACACATCAATTGATCTGGATATTGATTTATTTCAGTTTCACAACAAAGCATTAATAAGTAATGGATTATTACAGTAATAATGTATGCATAATTAATATGATTCAGTCTTTGCTAAAGATTGGATACCTTTGTTCAAAATTATATCTGTACTGTATATTGTGTATATTACTGTTATTATGACGATATACATATTGATGTCTGATTAAATAAGAAAATTCTATTGAATCAAATCTTTTTTTTCTATCATTGATGTACACACATTTTGCTTAGAATAAAATCTCAAAATTTATTGGCACATTTAAAACGACTTGATGAATCTAGGCTAAATAAAAACGCGTATAATTCGAAAGTTTTCGTGATTTTCTTTATTATATGCGCACCTTGATCGTTTACGGATTGAATAGATTGACTGGTTTTATTATTCTCAACAGAAAACGAGCAAAACGTAAGTATTGTTGAATTAAAGCAATACTATATATACGATGATGATTTTTTTTTTTGCTTTCGTTATATTTTCTTCGACCATGATTAAGAGGCGACGCAATAAGTATAAAAACGAAATCTACATATATATTTATTACATTAAACTGCACAACTCCTCCGCACTATTTTGCAATAAATATTCATAAGTTGTCCCTCTCGCCGCGACATCATCCTCCGACCCACCCTCATCGTACATTTACTATCGCCTAAAGTGAGCCGTATGGAAACTTTTCGACCAAGAATAATATTTACATATTTTATTACATTTTAAACGCTCGTTTGTAATACTTATATAATAATAATAATATACCATTTCCCGCATCTAATGGGGTTGCTATGAAAGATACCTATTGCTCGTGAATGGCGGCAGAGGTCTATTTCAGGCGGCAGTGGCCATGTCGAAAGCGCAGCGAAACTTCCCGAATCGTAAAGTCGTAGATTCGTAACAGTGTTATAGTTATATTCATATCGATAACGACGATTTTCGCCGATGTTTAATAAATGTTAATATCTCGGTGGATTTATTATACTTATTGTTGTAGTGTTATGCATTATTATTATTGCGTTTTCCGCATTTCGCCTTATCGGATATATATATAATATCCTATGACTGCGAAACAAATAACGATCGCTGCCCTCATTCTTGTAATCTTTGAACAATTAAATTGGTAATTTTCACGAATATGATATATACACAATATGTAATTTTTATCTTTTATCCAAAATTTATCAGACAAATTTTTGAGCAAAATAATTCACTGAACATTCACATTTGTTAAATATCGTATAAAATAAATGTTTTACCGATAAACATTTATCGTTTTAGTATCAGTTATTCCTGTAATTTAGATGCATTTATGTATTTGACAATAACGTCTTACTACGCTCCACATCCTACTGTAATGATTATACAAATAGGAATTAAGTTATTTGAAAATCAGTAGGTACTCTAAAATTTGTAATATTTTTCTCTCGACTTCATTTTATTGCATTTTTTTGGAACGTTTTTAATGCTTTAATTTTAAATATGTATTATTATTAACAATATTTATTACACTCTTGACCCACATTTCTAGCCATTTAGACTTGCCATTTGGAATGCTCTTGAAGTTTTTTACTCAAATAACTTTATAATTATATACTTTACCCATACTGTATAGTATATAGGTAAGTATATTATTATGATATGGTATAAGAAGTCTTGTTATATATATATATCTGTATGGCACGTAGATTGTTTTAGAGTACGAACAACTCAAATACAATATAATAATAATCATTATTGAAAACTGTACAAGTTACATAACACAAATGTATTATAAGAACGTTATTATTTTGGTCGATTGAATTTTTAATGCTAACACCCAATAAAAAAAAAAAACAAATAACTTCGTAATCTTTTTTTCAATATTTAAGCATATACACACACCAGTATTACAATATTTATAGATAAATGTGTAGTATGGCTCATCACGCTTTTAACTTTCAAACTTCACACACATAAACGCATATAAGTATACTATGTTGTTAACTTTTAAACTTTCTCTATTTCACACGCAATTACAGTGCGATATTTTAGCGCGCGAAAAACGTTACGCGTAACGCTGTCACTTTATCCGCTGTAATTTTAATGTGCATGGCCTTCTGAAAACCACTACAGGATAACGTAGGTAAATTTTATGATATTATTATTTTTATCTTGGAATGGAAATCGTATGCGCGAGTATATCGCGTTAGTATAAACTTTGCGAAATGTAATTTGCCCTACACAATATTATACTCTACTTGGTACGTTACGTGTCGCATTTGTACCAATAAAAACGTAAACAATTATTTTTAAAAAGTTTAAAAATATATTGTGAATAAAAAAAGTAATAATCAGAAAAGTTTTAAAACCTATCCAGCTATTTGACACGTTTTTCTATACAAGTGCGGTGGATAATTATTGTATGGTGTGTATCATGTGTTCGATATTATAGATAATTTAACAATTGATAACTTCGGTTTTCATGTACCCATAATATGTAATATAATACTTGTTTGCTGTGTTATGTAAATGTTTTAATTCATCACACTTCATGAACCTTTCCTTTTGATCGTATATCAATTTTTATTTTTACCGTTTTCTAATATTATTTAATCTTAATTACTTAATAATTTAATATAGATGATGATTTACTAAGTATGGTCTATCCTTTTTTTCATTTAATAATGCTTTTATTCAAATTCTGATTTTTAAAATTTTAAAATTAATTTAATGGTTATATTTTAGTATATTGAAATATTTAAAAGAAAATCAGAACTTGAATACATGCTTTTTTTAAAAAGAAAAGGGGATATGTATGCTTGTATAATATGCTCGTACTAATATACATTGTCAAATTATTTAAGTGTATCATCTTATTTATCAATTAAAGTCTATTAAATTTTAATGAATGTATTATACATATTTACTTATATATTAAAATTTCCATCGCATAATATTTTTACGTATTAAATATAAATTAGAAAGCAAAAATAAATATTCGTTTAAAAGAAATAAAAAACGTATGACCACTATTTTAATTTAATTATTATTTATTGACTATATATTTTATTATTAATTTATTTTTTTCAGTTAATTTCATTGACGGTGAAGTGTTGCACATAACGAGAGTGAGTAGGCTCCACATGGGTGCTTATTTGTGCATAGCCTCGAACGGTGTTCCTCCTTCTATCAGTAAAAGAGTCACACTCAATGTTCAATGTAAGTTTATATATATATATTATATAAGCCAATTATTTAATCAAAATTTTCAGTTCGCTAAAAATATTGTTGGAAACGTAATGAGTACGGTACTCATCAAGCCATTATTGTAAAATATTTACATGGGTACTTACCATAACAGTAATTATTATTTATTTTAAATTTTGAAAATTTGATATGAATAGATGATTTTATGTTTAACATGCTATTGTAATTTTATTCATTATAATTTCGATTGGTTTAAATATTTTCAAACAACACTTATTCATATACTATTTAATAGATATATGAATACCTACATAAGTATTTAATTTCATTGAACATATCGAATTCGTTGTATATGATATAGAATATTTGGCCAAAACAATTATCTTAACAGCAATAGTTACAAACCAAGATCACGTTTATTCTAACTGTAGTTCTATAGACCGGACAAACTATGAATAGTTTTACAAAACGTTATTCGTTTTATAGTGTTCCTATTTAATTAAATAGAAAATTTAACTAAAACCTGCGTAGTATGCATAAATAAATCTATAGGATAGTTCCATATTCTTAAATTTTATAAATACAACGTTTATGTTTAGTATTTTTGAAATTTAATGAAAATGTCCGTGTTATTACGAAAATATCGGAACAATCCTTCGAAAATGTAATGGTGAATATTATATAATATACAAGCTACAAGTTTATTCTGTAAAGTACGCAAGTTATTTTTAAATTAAAATTAATATAATCATAATACTTTTAAATTTTTTAAAAGTAGAAAACGGAATTTTTATGAAATAAAAAGTATTACAACTTTTCATATGATACGCAGTAAAAATCGTGAAAATATAAAACATATTTGTAAAAGATATCCAATAAATAAATTATAATAACAAAAAAAAAATAAATACATTCATAATTATTTTCAACAAAAATTAAATCAACCTACCGTATAATATTAATAGTAATATAGATGACTAATGATTTTACTACAAAACATAATATTATGATATAAATTTTATACTTTTTATTTTTTTTTTTTTTTTTTATACCTTGATGATAAAAACTGATAGACCGTCTCCTCTTAAACTCGTTTTACGTAAACAATGATATATTATTGAATTTAAATTTAAAAAATCAATTAAAATGACCCACTCGACACATTCTATAAAGTAGAATGATACCCACTTGCCTACTTTTTTTTACTCAATTTTAAATTGTGTTTATAATCAAACAATTTTAAATATATTTAATGACTTAGAACCAAATTTTAATTCATTTTGTATTTTAATTTCTTGGATGTAAAATGTTTGTGAAGTAATATTTTATCCTTCAAGGTTTGACTTGAAAATTTTAATTATTATCTAACGAAGTAATAAGTATAATAATCTTTCGATATTACATACGATAGAATATAACCAGTTAATCTCGACAATATAATAATTATCTTAAAATTCAAATGATTAACATTAAGGTGTAAAATACAACGTATTCCATATAATAAGTCCAATAAAATCTAGTAGATTTGGATCTTTATAATCTGTTTTTTTTTTAAATTATTCTCATGTTTACCATTATTATAATGATATACATATACCTATAATGAGAAACTATGCTAACTTCATTGCAAATGACTGGTATTAATTAAATTATATTTGTCGTTGTGTTACAGTTCCTCCCATGTTGACTATTTCGAATCAACTGGTGGGTGGCTATATTGGCCAGGATATCAAATTAGAATGTCACACTGAAGCGTTTCCAACGTCCATAAACTTTTGGACGACCGAAAAGGGTGACATGATCGTTTCGGGTAAGAAATAAGGTGACTGAATTGTGTAAAAAATGAACAAAAGTAGATATGACGGTTTCAGGCGAAAAATATGAGGCAATATCTACGAACAGCGGATACAATGACTACATGATCCTGAAGATTAGAAAATTGTCGCCAGAAGATTTTGGATCATACAAATGTGTTGCGAAGAATTCACTGGGCGAAACCGATGGATTCATCAAACTAGATCGTGAGCGTATTTTCTGTATCATACCTACATATTATTTGCATTATCTAGTTGTTTGGATTTTTATGTATGTGTCTGTTGGCATAAAAAACAGTTATTGTTTTCTTACTACGAAAATATCGTGATTATTTAATTAGTTTATCGCACTATACATAGCGATCAGTTGTAGCACTATATTATTATTTTTTAAGTAAATATTGCCATACAATCTGAAAACTACCCGCAATTAGGATGCCTTGATAGTTGATAAAAATAGTTTACTTATAGAGGGTGTTGTTTTTAATTGGTTAAGGTGATTATCCGTTATTACTCATCAGTAAGCTAATGTTTTTAATTTATTTTTTTGATAATAACTCATATTATATGAGCATAATGCATAAACTGTAAATTATGATTCAATTTATTTATATATTTTTTCATTTTTAAATATGCAAGACGTGCTTAAGGTTCTTTTTTAAAGTGACTACACGTTTAAACCTGTGTAAATACGCATAATTTTTGGTTTTAATTATATCAATTCATTGTTTTAATTCAATACGTTATATTAAGTAGGTACATAAACTAATATATTTAAAATTACCAATAACGTTTTTCTCTTATTTATTTATTATTATAGCAGTGTAAAAAATTCTAATGTGCTGATATTGGTTTTTCAAAGTTTTCTAGAAAAGATTTTTTCATGAAATAATAATTTATCAAGACTGCACTTTCTATCAACCCGCGATTAAAGGTTCTTTTAATTTATTTATACGTATATTTTCATAATTTCATTTCAAACAGTACAATATTATTGGATTTTTGAAATGTTCATGTGCTGCTTGACACATTTGCCCTATCTTTTGACTTTTTCAACTCCCCCCCCCCCCCAAAAAAAAAAAAAAAAAATCATAGTACGCTCACATTGCAGAGTGCATCACATATAGTTAATTCGAAGAATTCGGGTAAGCATGAATACAAAATGATTCCAAGAACACGTTTGTATTTATGATTATTCTTCAGTAACTGAAAGTAAAGTAGGTACTCCACTTCGTATTTAATCGTCGAAACTAGCATTAAAAATGTTTAATCAAAACTTATATGATAAGTTGAGACACAATAACGAGCAAATTTGTCTAAACTAAAATTGTACTTAGTTCCAACACTTACTATATACATATTCGGCCATCGTTTAGGTTATTTTATAGAAAGAACATGCACTGAGTTATTTTACAAACGTGCACGGAACGATTTAAAAGGGAATGGAGTGGAATAAATAATCCGGCAGTTTAAGACACTATACAAGGTTATTCAACAAGCAATACGTTCACCTTCCTTTTTTTTTTCAATAATGCACTGTATTATTTAAATAAAAACTTAACTTTTTTAATATAAGCTATTAATTAGACATTTTTTTTTTTTTTTTGTTGCAAGCATTTATATATTTAAAAAAATTCATAATCCTTAAAAATAGTCTTACAAAATTGTAATATACAAGTATCATTAGACCTATTTTTTATTATATCCAGAAAATGTTTAAGATTCATACAATTATTTTAGTAGATGCATATTAGTGATTATATTTCTCATACCATAATATGAAAAAGAGCCACTTTAGTTTCCAAATTGATTAAAACTGATATAATATTATCCTTAGCAAACAATGTTTAATTACAAAAAAATCATTCGTTCGAATTTTTATAAGTACTTAAAAGCATAGGTAATTTCAAAGAGTCTTTTCTTTAATAATTTTCAAGAAAAAGGTTGATTTTTTATAAAGTGGTTAATAGAAAATAAAAATTTACGTATTTGAATTTAAAAAATGTGTTATTCTTATCTGTGCCACATTTCTATTGTTGGTTGTTTGTAATGTTTGTATAGTTATTATAAGTTTAATTAGAAAAACGATTATTCGCGAAACAAGTTACTCATATATTGTTGAAAAATTAAATATATATAGTATCAAAAGATATTTTTTTCAGTTACGAAGCATTTAGTTTTTTTTTTATTTTAATAAAAAAAATGTATTTAAATTGTTTTTATTTTAAAGCATAATATAATTATTATTATTAATATAAAAATATTAAAACGCCCCAACGTCATTAAATATAATAGTATAGTCTTACGTGTCGTATTAAATTTAGTTTAATAACTATCACCGTATGGTATTTTTGAAAAATTGGTAATATTTTTATAAAAGACTATTCTATTTCCGTTATAAAAATATAGCTAGTAGATAAATAATAGAATTTTTTTCATAATAATGTAACAGTGGTTTAAACCATATAAAATAGTAACAATTTTTTTAAAAACGGAAAATCGATTGGAATATAATTACAGATGATACATGTATTATAATACATATACATTATACAACAATAGCTGTAAGGATGGTTCATTATATGTAGGTGTAATGGCGCGTAGCGGAGCGTATTGTTTTTCCAATATACATTTTTTGTTAAAAAAAACAAAACGAAACGAAACTTGTCGCGGCACGTATGATACAAATCTAAAATAACACGACTGTGACTTTGGTTTGCATTTGCTCGAGAGATTTTTAAACATCAATCATATTCGTTATCGTTACGTATAGACACCGCTGGAAAATAAGCTGCAGCCGCATATTATTATTATATTCTTTAACCGTTAGTTGTTCCATAATAAACGATATACTGTCCGGAATATGTTATATTATTACGATATTCATCCCGCGTGTAATTAAGTCTTAGTGTAAAAAAAGAACCATATGATTATTATTATGGGCTTTTGGAAAAATATCTTTTGCTCGCATACTAACCCCCTTACTATTATTCAAATAAAAACAAATTATTTGTACAAACTATAAACTTAAATAATATCTCAATATTCAACATTTAATAATTGCTACAGCCAACATGAAATAATACCCAATTATTACCATTTTATGAAATATAGATTATATTCGAACATCAATTAACTGCTGTTTTTATTTTAAAAGCCACGAATTCACAAAATCGTCTGTTGTGTCATGTGTCTTTTATCGTATTTTGATGGGCCGTTATAAACATGGTATCATTTACTTGCTATGATTTAACCGGACATTTTTAGAGTCGGGTCGAGCTTGATTTTTGAATACCGCACAACATATATTGTTACTGTTAACCCAGCTTGACACTGCTTATTAAACGGGATTTAAATTATGACAAAGTTATTATACGGTTAAATAGTTTATAGTTTTCTGTTGCACATTGCACACTAATTATTTTGAACACGGGGTTATAGTATAATTGGTAGATCACCACTGGAGAATAGGTTATAACCATTTCTGTATATTATTTACTTTGCACTTGGCGTTATTTAATATTTGTCAAAACGCTGTTGAGGAGGTTGATTTATCGTGAGATTTAAATCCATGCGTTTGCGTTGCAAACCGATGAGATAATTTCCGGATTTGTCGGCGATGGCTGTTTTGATGATAAACCGTGCAATGCATATGTGGGTTGCAAATGAATGTTGCAAGCGAATAATATAGCAAACATCTAATTGTACAGGCCGACTTAACAAGGATAGTCACTCCTATTTTCACCTATATTTGAATTTTTCAGAATATTCAAGGAGGAAATTTAATCAAAAACTTAACCTAATTATGCAACTTAAGGAGTATTATATATTATATAATATATATACTCACGTGTTGATAAAATCTATTTTTTCAAATGAGGAATGCTTTTTTATTTTTAAGAAAATAATATTTATTTTTTTAATTTAGGTAGTTAAATAAATATTGTCCAACTAGTAATTTTTGATTTTTTATAACAAATTTTAAGTATCTAATCAGTACACCCAGGATAATATTGCGTGATAATAAGTTTAGCAGATACGGGGGCTATATATATTTGAAAATATGTAATCTATCATTGTTTTATATTTATTATTATTATTTATTTTTTTTTTTTTTAATTTTTAAAAGTTTAATAAATACTAAATCAAAATATAATGCATTTGTTTTTTATTTATGTAAAATAATTTATAGTAAATAAAGTTAAATAACTGAGACGCTAACTTCAAATTTTGAATAAGATACATAAAAATATAGCAATTAATGAAATTTAAAAATTCCAAAAAATAGAATTTAAAAAAACTTATTATTGAAGGAAAAATTTAGAATGATCATGCTTGATGAATCATCTAAAAATATGATTATTATATTTTAATGTTTGAATTCTAAATATTTTAAACAATTATGGTATAATGCAATACAGTGTGTGTTATTTATAGTTTATAATTTTCTTTCGGCATCGGCAATGAGTGCTGACAAGTATTAACTTCACACATGGTTTTAAATGTTTGACTTAATGAATTAACTTGTATATAAATATACAAGGCAACGTATGCGTTTAAAAAATAATTCATTTCATTAGTAATTTACACTGAAGATATTATAAAAGTTGGTTATGATTTGAAATAAAAAGGTGAACCACTGCGGCATATCACTTAAATATAAGTATATACGAAAATATAACCTTTAAGTATGCTTACTAATTAAAAAAAATCATAATTTGAATAAAATATGCACTACTACAGTAAAAAGGTGAAGGGACGGTTATTATGCTTGGTGAATATTATTACCTAAGCTCTTTATTATAATTAAAAAAAAAAAAAATGAGATGCACATTTTATTTGAAAAAATCGCAATATTATCGTTAATATGCTAATATTATACCTTGTTATGATCTAAAGTAGTTTAAGCTATATAAAAAAAAAAACACAGTGATGGTGATATTGTATATATTGATCTAATCAATAAAACAAAAGTATTCGAAATTTGTTTTTATCTATCAAACGCTTTACCCGCGGATATGGTATACTAATTGTTTTTCTGGTTATAAATCTTTTAAATTATTAAATATTACCCATATCAATAATTTATTTAATAAAATTGACATTTATCACAATTATAAGTATTTTCCGATTTTATCTTACAAAGTTGATACATCCAATATACATAATTATTTTATTTATATACGTATATATTCTATTTTAAAATTGAATTATAAATTTCTATTAAGTAGGTATTCGAATAGTGTATTTTACAAGTTATGAAATTATAGCGTATATATTGATGAGTGAGAAGAAATAGTATAATATTATATATATTACAATATACACAATGATAGTAGGTTGATGAAAATGTTTATATATGACAATAAAATCGTTGGGATTTGGTACTCTAGTATAATTCCGATGAATAGCTTCAGGTTTCGAGTCGTTCAGTTAGAATATTTGACTCGTTGTTTAATCATAAATATGACTCTAAAAGTCGAACAACGCGTGTTTTATTAATAAATGACTGTATTATATGAATCGGTGCTGTAAATGCCCCACGGAAATCTCTACATAGTAATAACATGTTTATACTATATTCTACGATTGATGGAACAATACTGATGAAATAATGTGTTCGGGTCTTTTTTCAGAATACTCGAGGTAGGAACAATAATATTCAAATATTATGTATGGAAAATACAACTACTTATATGTAGCATAAAATGTTTTAATAATTACTGTGTATATGGATGTATACATTTTATCATATTATATTGGTATTTAAGTGATAAAATGTTCTCTCTGAACAAATAAAATTATACTCAGAAATCAACACAATAATATTGTTATATGGTCTTATTTCGCTAATAATTGAAAATTTACGATTAAATAATAATATAATGTGCATGTCACTATACATTTTTGTTCAGCATCTACGCATGCAGGTGTTCCGTTGGTTTCGCTTTTATACTTTGGTATAAACTTTTCTTCATTTACATTAACGATCGCGCCTTATAAAACAATTTATCGAAAAGAAGCTTTATTTTTTGTTAATACTGTAATAACAAAAACAATTTATATATGCTATCATATTATATTAAGATACATCAATATCGTCATATATACCAATTTCCCCAGAACTCTGCCATCGTGTTTCCGGGAACATGAGATATAATGTTTAATAAAATAATATTGTATACATAATCATAATCTGACATTGTGTATACCTAGTAATAATAAGTATAATATTGAGTTTCCATCGATGCAATAGTGAATTATTTGAAAAAAGTATTTATTACATTTCCTGGTACTTTGTAAAATGTCAATTAATATTTGAACTGTAAAACGTACGAGTTTTCACAACTACAGTAGTTTTAATCTTCATCAAACATTATTATTACATAACTAACTTGTGGTTTTATTATCTACAAAACATAGACGATTGCTTTGTAGGAAACAAATGTATTGGTCGATTATAATATTATGTATATATATGCCCAGGTCTACTTAAGTATTAGATGAGAAGAGACCGTACAGAGAGTTTGCAAGGAGAGATTATATACGAGAGAACGAATTATAAGTGGGGCTGTGGGGGAAAGAAAAATAGATTAATTGTTACAAATGAATGTCGCTTATATCACGTCTTTCAATACATAGTTAAGTTTCAACAGTCTGTAGTGTAAACCAAAAGGTATGTATAATCGACTAACTGTTGGATTTTGCTTGCAGAAATCGCAGTGCCGTCGAGACCTATGGTGATTACCGAAGAACCAGATTACGAACGAAAAGGTGAGTAACACGGGTATAAATTATTTTTACTTAAGTTTTGGAAAATATTTTACCATAAACTACTTGAAATAGTAACGTTTTTTATATGTTGCGATAAGCACCTCTTTGGTCTGTTCAAGGATGGATCTTAAAGTTATATTACAATATAGTTAAAAAGTATTGTGACTTATTCATATTTAATTGAGAAACTAAAACATATTTATTTTAGGGAATATTTTTATACTTTAAAATCAAAAATACATTTTCGTATCGATGAATCTGATGATTCGAAAAACTACTTGCATACTATATAAAAAAATTTGACTTAAATTATCAATAACCGTTCAAAATTTCATAATGACAATATTATTTTTTTTCTAAAGTCAATAAAAATAATAAATTAGATAGAAATATTGCCAAATTGAATAAATTTATCTTATCTTTTATCATTATTGTTAGTTTAGTCATTATTCTCTTATAATTTTCAGTGTATTTTTATTTCCTCATGCCTCACTTATTGGTTTTTTTATAACATGCTCTAATAATCCTATAACACTCCTTACCTGCGATTGTCGTACACGCTTTAAGGGTGGATTACAAATGATTATTTTTTGATGTTCCTATTCATTACATGCGCAATAAAGAAATTTGTCGTTAAGTTAATATTTAAAATTGAGTTACTAACATGTTCCACTTAATGTATATAAATATATTATATAAGTTACACCTAAGTGATCAAAAATCAAAACTGTGGGTAAAACGATATTAAATAGATTTCTGCATCAAATTTAAATCTATTATCATCTATTTTCAAAGTCTTTACCATTAGATAGAGATCAATTTGTGGTCGGTATAACGTTAAAAATAGAAAAGTTTAAAATCTTATGATGCGCTTGTATTATGACCTGCAGAAAGTTAGCAAGCAACTGCTTTTAATAATTATTATAATAAACTAGATTACTTTAATTATTATATTTGGAGACTTTTCCTTTTGCTCCTTTGCTCCTTGCGACAGATCACACTAATCTACAAGGCAGTTTCACCCATGTGAACATACGTTCTCTGGGTCATTGTCCACTGTGCAATTTAGTATAATATGTAAATTATAAAATATTTAAAGATAAAAATGTAATATTATTTTGTTTTTTTTATAAACAGAGAGATTATCGATCATTTTTTTGTATAACATTACGATTTTATCCTCACAGATTTTGATGACGATAGCAACGGTGACCCATCGGAAACTGTCTTCAACTCGTTGCCAACAGACAACAGTTCGCTCAACTCGGACGCTGTTCGGTGGTCGCACGATGGTGTCTTTGGTTGGATTGCATCGGCCGGATGTTGTTGGATGGCATTAGCATTAGTATTTGACAGGTGATCGTCACCGGTCATCAATTTATCGTAACATTCAATGCGTAAACGTCGTTGTGCATGTTGTTGTTACACGATCGAAATATAGTGCGGTGATGAGTCATCATCTCACCCCGGAACAGAAACAAACTATAGTAATTTTTTATGCCCTTACATTTTCGTGTTTTTGGTTTTTTGTTTAGTATAAGTGCGTTATTTTCCTCCTGCATTTTGTAAGATAAAAATTAAAAAAAATCAATGGATGTTGTGCCGACGATTATGTTATATTATACGATTAAATTCGTCGCTTTGATTTGTAATATAATATAATATAATATACCTAATTGCAGTTATTATTATTTTATATTTATTAAAATTTATTATATTATGCGAATCAAATAATATTATATATTGTGTTGTATTATTCGGTTTTAATTGGAATTTTTTTTATAGCATAATAATATATTTTATAAATCATATAATATTTCGTCTTATTCAGCACTGTGTAATAATAACAATATAACAATATTTACCATGTTGTGATGTATATACGTGCGTAGTCTCCGCTGAAACCGTTGTACATATTACTATAGTTATAATACTTATTTTGATCGTTTACTATAAATAAATATAAAAACGCACGCGTACTTACTTATTTATGATACTATAATTTATTACCTTTAAAATAATAACAATACACTACACATAGATACGTTCATCCTTATTTATATATGGTAATATTATATTTCATGTACGCTGTGTATATTTTATTATCTTGAAAAAAGTGCAATGCGATTCCAATAATGATTCACGTCCTTCCAAGTGTTCCAAATTCAGAAGGAATAGGGGTAAAATTAAACCAAGGCTTTCGGAAATAACTGCAAAATAAAATTTCGAGGTGATCCTGTGTGCACATGTGCGTTATCGATTTATTATGTATCTGTAGCATTATCCAAGTCGAAAAAACTTAGAAAACCAGTGGTTTTCGTTAATAATTTTCAAGTATCAATAGTTTTTGAGTCCACTAGCAGTTATCTATGTACACTATACAGAGTGATTCACCAAGCTTGCTCACTACTTCTTTTTATAAAATTGCCAGTTATTTTTTTCGGAATTTTCAAATACATTTGAAGTTTATATTTTTAAATCTTATAAATACTATTCAAAGAATATTCTGAGGAGATACTTGTAATTTTCAAATAAAAGAATAAAAATTCTCCTTTTCAACTACAAACTAATTAGTGGATAATTTTCTTAAAAATGTGTACTTACGTATCAAAATCAAAATGTCAACGAGTAGTTTTTAAGTTGGTTAACCTTTATGTATACTAAAGATAATAAATTCATGAAAAATGGATTTGATAGAAATGAGGGCTATAATGACTTGAAAATTTTAGTAATTAATAATTAATATTGATTTATTGACATTTAAAATTTGTAAAAACTGTCTAAGTTAGTAAATATATCATGTAAAATAACTTTTAAGGACTTATATTCCTAGTATAAATATTTTAATAACTTTAATATAAAGGTTACCTATGGATAGTTATTTAACATGATTAGGATTCGAAAATAGATGAAAACGATAACAACTGGTAGTCTGATAAAAACTGTAGCCTGGACAGAATACGTAGGCAGATAATTAAGTAAGTATCTATATATTAATATATGATAATATACAATATACGCATGTGGTTATAATATTCTAATCATACGTTATAAATTTTGAAGTATTAATTTTAATTTACAATAAAAAAAATTTTTACTCTTTCTAACCTAATGTTAATTACAAATGATTCAACATAAATCTATTTATATATAGTAATTAATTTACGTATTTTTTCATTATCGTAATTGATGCCAAATCGAAAATAAAATTATCTATCTACTTGTATACATATTATCTGCTTGCATGTGATGAAACTTTTTTTATTTTGTTAGTCCATCATGCATCTGCTACTGTTTTTATTTGGTACATTAAAAAAAAATATGACAAAGCAAAATAAATAACAACAATTGCATTTTTTTTTTTTTTTTAGTGTTGTGGTTTATGATTCTTGTTTATCAAATGTTATCAATTCTTACATGAAGTATACGAAAAACGTACTCATAGTTTAAAAAATACAAAATTTAAGTTTTGTTTTCAAATCAATTCTTTGATATAGGTATGAAACGAGTTAATCGATCGTTGTGAAAAAGTTTATTTATAACGGTGATTCACCGATATCACATTGAATCGCTGCCACGTTCACCTGATTTAAACCAATACCAATGTAATTTTTTCATGGAACCTATGGAGGCCTAAATGTTCCAATATCGTTCACTAACTTTAAAAGTTATGGAAGGGTAATGATACAGAACATTGCTGCCATCCTTCCCGAAATGACCGGTATAGGGTCATAACAGATAATTCCTAAGAAAGGCTCGAGCTGCAGTGTATCAAAAATACGGGGCACTACATAAGCGATATAATTTTTAAAATAATTGATATAAACTAGCATTGAAATGATGTACAATTTATAGGTGAAAAATGTTCTTGACTTGGTTTGGTTTAATTTAGTCTTTTAAATCGGGTAGCTTTTATTTTTATTTTTATTTTTTTGTCGTATTCTGTATATTATTGACTCAGTCAAAACGAATTTAATTAGAAGTTCACGATTTGCTTCACCGGAAAAAGGTGAAGAGGTACTGTTCTCGCGTATACTATTATATATGTCATATAACTACATATAGAGTATGTAATATGTGCGATACTATCAGTAAACACGGTCTAGGTAACCCGGGCGATGCGAATACCTCGTGCATATCGTTTATATATATATATAATATTATTATAGGAGAGGTACACATACATCTTTTCACGAACTGTGTGTGTATATACAATAATACACACGTGTACTCAAGCCAGTGCAGGTGAGGCGCGACTCGGTGGTTTTCTTTGGAAATTTATCGGTGCTGCCACGCGGCCGATTGCCGGACCGTATATCTTACGGACCCACGCCGGCTGACTGTATTATATATATACTATTATACACATATGTACACGCGCGAGTTTCGAAGGCCGACGACGGACGAAAAGCGTACCCCCACCCCCTTATCAACCCTTCAAACACCGTAAGACACCCTTGCCGGTCATCTCCATCCCTTCACAGGCAAGGATCTATGTACATATATATATATATAGACTGCGTATTCCCCAAGAGAGGTATGTTTTATATGCACGAATACGTATCAATGTAACTATATCTTTTATTATTATTATTATTATTATTATACCAACATGTGCTAGTGTTTGAGCCTAATGTGCAGTAAATGTATATAATGTGTATATGTATATATATATAATGTATTAGAACAGATTGGCTGACCGATTTGCGAATACAATAGACAGCAACGGGGATCATGTGTGTAATTAGAGATTTCCGGTAGAAAAAAATAAAAATAAAAATCACGTTGTCGGTTCGACCGGACGTCCGGTGATTTTTATACAACGCGGCGCGTCGCAGTTCGGTCGAAAAATCATCTATTTACTAGAGATCCGCCATATTTCTCTTTCTCTCTTTCAAAAAAAAAAAAAAATATATATATATATATATATATGCACATGTGTCAGCAGACTTGGGCACGCAATATAAATTGTAACAGGGCATATATTTTTCCATCCGGACCCAGTGAATACATTTCATTTATATTTTGTGTAGCCCGATGTGCTTTATTTGTAATCAAAATAATTTGGTACATACTGATATTTAATACCGTTCCTCAGTCGGACTACGCAGGTATTATGACCTAAACTATGTGATTCAGTATCTATTAACTTTGTTATATTCTCTATATTACAACAATGTGTACTAAACCAAATATTTTGAGGTGACTAGAGCTCCTTCATACATTTTCTTAAAAAATAACTTGATAAAACTTTATCATTTCATCATTAATAAAGGAATTGCCTATATTTACTTATGAAAAATAATTATTTTTACTATAGTTTAATTTTTCTTTTATTATTATTAATGTACAAGTGTTGCAAGTGATATAATGTTGTAAGTGTTTCAAGTTTCCTTTAATAAATTTTAAGTCAGTGTATTGACATGTACTATAAAAAAAGTATCTACCATAGGCACAAACCTAATATAATTTTAACTTTGATTGATAATAGAACATGTAATTTAAGTTATAGATGATGAAATAAGTCAATATATAGTTTGATAATAAAATATAAATAAGCTTTATAGAACATTAAACAAATAACAATTAGGTACAAAATGTCTTAATTTATATCTTTTGTCTCAGGCGTTGAATGTGTGCGTGTCACGTGCAATGTCCATTATTGTTTTTTATTCATTTTGAATTGATATTATATGAGTTTAAAGATTAATCTACCTTGAGAGAACTACATTTTAGGACCTACACTCCTTGGTTGAGTTTGTGTAAGTGCAACAAAAAATGTATGCCATCAACCTTTTAAATATTTAATCATTATAATTAAATCGAAAGACTGTATTTTTATTGGCACGTAACGATGATAATCGATCAAAGTTTGTTTTTGTTTTAAAAGTAATGTCGATCGTTGGTAATTGCATTTCAGTACACTCTTAAACGGTGTTCCATTATTTTATTGTAAATAATTTACCACACAAGAATTTATTACAAGTATATTTGGTTACGATATACTGAAGTATCTTCTGTAAAAATGTATTAAAATAATATGTATCGTGACTTATAAGTTATAACAGTATCTATAGTGGACAGTAGTTATTATAATATTGATTGATACAAAGTGTATAATTAGAATAAAAACTTATGTGAGTGCCTTTGTACTCAGTACTCACGAATGATGTGTAAACATCTTAGCTGCAGTACGACTTTGATTGGGGAATATAATGTCATGGTTTGAGTGGGAATTTGTATAATAAGGTAATAATAATCATACAAGATCGCGTTCTCTTTAAAATTTATATTTAACTTTTTTATTTTTATTTATATATGTTTTTTTTTTTTATTATTATTATATATAATTTATATATATATTATAATTATTTAATATGTATTATTATATATTATAAATTATGATATACTATATATCGTCAGCCTATTTAGCAAACGGCGTAACTCCAAAAAATTCAAATTTCATTTTTTCATGTCATTCAATGGAAAAAAAATGAACGTCGATTGGTATCATAATCATAATATTTAAGTGTGTTTTCTTCCATGAAACCGGTGTTAATTGATACGCATTAGTTGTAACTCTGATAAACAAATAATATAATTTCTATAGAAACCAGCGTATCTCAATATATA